TATATATATATATATATATATATATATATATATATATATATATAAATGTATATATATATATACATATATATATATATATATATATATATATATATATATATATATATATATATATATATATATATATATATATATATACACATATGGATATATACATATATATATATATATATATATATATATATATATATATATATATATATATATATATATGTATATATATATACACATATGTATGTATATATGTGTATATATATATATATATATATATATATATATATATATTTATACATTCATATATAAACAGATAGATAGATAGAAACACTATGTATATATAAATAGATAGATAGATAGATAGAAACACTATATATATATAAATAGATAGATAGATAGATAGATACATCATCATCATCATCATTCATCATTTGAGAGCTAACGCCGGCAGGGGCGCATAGCCGCATCCATCCTTCGCTTCCACCTTCGAGGATCCCTCATGGCGAGCCGCCAGGCAGGGGCCCGGCCCATCTCTAGTTCCTCACGACAGGTTTGATCGATCTGCCCAAGCCACGACCTTCTCGGTCGTCCCACAGGCCTCCTCCACCCAGGGTTGTCACGGACAGAGACAACCTGATGGGCAGGATCATCCTGCGGGAATCGAGCCAAGTGGCCATATAGCCTGAGTTGGCGATCACGGATTGTGCAAGTAACAGGTCCTGTACCGGTCTCACAGTGTAGCCGTTGGTTGGACACATGGTCCCGCCAACTGTACCCCATGATCCCGCCAACTGTACCCCAAGGATCTGTTACAAAAGGCATCGAGACGAGATTCCAAAGCACAAGATAGCGTCCAAGTTTCACTACCATACAGTAAGACTGGCAGTATCAGGGCCTTGAAAACATGTAGCTTGGTCCTTCTGCACAGGTACCGGCATCTCCAAATACTCTTGTCGAGAGATTTCATGACCCCTGCTGCCTGGCCAATCCGTCTACTGACTTCCTGGTCTGACAGCCCAGAGTCATGGACTGCACTACCGAGGTATAAAAAGCTCTTTGTGACTTCGATGTTTTCACCGCAAGCACGTACCGACTGCACAGGGTCTCCTAGTAGGCCCCCAAAATCCTGGATCTTGGTCTTGGTCCAGGAGACCTGTAGCCCCAGGGGCTTCACTTCATTGCTAAATGCATCAAGAGCCGCCACTAGGGTTTCCAGAGATTCAGAGAGAATGGCAACATCATCAGCAAAGTCAAGGTCTGTAACCTTGATATTGCCCAGAGTTGCTCCTCAGTGACTTTGGACAGTAGCTCTACCCAGTATCCAATCCATGCAAGTGTTGAAAAGTGTTGGTGCAAGCCTTTCCTCACGCCTGAACTAACAGGAAAGAAGCTCGACAGGCCCCACCACACTTTACAGCACTTTCAGTGCCTGTATACAGGTTTGCTATTAGTCCAACAATCTTTGTTGGAATTCCTCTCAGTCTCAGGATCTCCCAGAGTGATTCGCGATGCACTGTATCAAACGCCTTCTTGAGGTCGATGTAGGCTGCGAGCAGCCCACGTCCGAACTCACGACGGCACTCTACAATGACTCAAAGTGCCAGGATGCGGTCTATTGTGGACTTACCAGGAGTGAATCCAGATTGCTCTGGTCTTTGGTGCCTCAGGAGGTGGTCTCTGATACGTCTCAGTAAGATGTGTGCAAGTACCTTGCCTGGTACACTGAGCAGTGTAATGCCTCGGTGATTGCTGCAGTCTTACCGATCCCCTTTCCCGTTCCAGAGAGGGATGACCACACCCCTCAGCAGGTCAGGGGGAATGGTACCGGTCTGCCAGATGGCAGACAGGACTGCATGCAAGGCCCTTGTCATAGGTTCTCCATCAGCCTTTAACAATTCAGCTGGGATGCCACAAACACCTGCTGCTTTACCACTCTTCAGCTTGGAGATCGCCCCCGTGACTTCAGTCAGGGAAGGTGGATCCTCGCTGATGGGTGGGTCTGGCAGAGGAATCTCAACATTACCAGCATCCAAGTTAACTGTTGGTGGAACAACCTGATACAACTGCTCAAAATACTCAGCCCAACACACACGCACCCCATCAGGATCTGAGATTACCTGGTCACTTGCCTTGTGGACTGCTGTCGTCTGTGAGGAGGGCTTGGAGTTCAGCTTTCTCAGGGCTTGGTAAGTAGGACAAAGGTCATTTACTAGGAAATGGCTTTCGACCTCCTCTGCAAGATTACTGATAAACTGTTCCTTATCCCTTCTCAACAGTGACCTAGTCCTGCGCGCCAGAGAACGGTGTAAGTTACAATCCCCTGACAATCGAGCCGCACGACAAGCTTCTGTGGCTTCCAGTGTCTCCTGCGAGATGGAATTCTGTCTTGCTCTTGGGCATTCACCAATGGATTCCTGAGCTGCATCAAGCGTTTCACGCTTGAAGGAATCCCACATAACAACAGGGTCTGTCAGGCCCTCGAGTGCTGTGAGACGACCAGAGATAGCCTCAGCAAACCCCCGGGCACACTCGTCCTCCCTCAGTCTGTCCAGATGAAACACCCTGGGGTATTCATTTGGTCGATGGGGGGTTCTAAAGTGGACCCGGAGAGTAGCCACAACTAATCTATGATCAGTTCCACAGAACTTAGCGCTTCAATACACCCTGCAGTTCTGGAGGATCCTCCACCGAGTGCTGACGAGGATGTGGTCGATCTCCTTGGCCACCCTACCTGTATCGCTGTACCAAGTCCAGCGATGCGGGTCAGAACGCTGATACCAGGAGCCAGAGATCCTCAATTTCTGGGACCTAGCAAAGTCACGGAAAAGGAGGCTATTCTCGCTGCCAGCATCAGCTCCTGAGCCATGGGGACCGATAGACATCTCGTAACCAGCTCGATCACAGCCGGATACCACATTGAAGTCGCCCAGAACAATACGAATATCTTGCCTAGGACAACTGTCTGCCACAGATGCAAGTTTGGCGTAGAACATCTCTTTCACCTCAAGTTTATATACGTCCGTAGGAGCGTACACAGCAATAATAGACATGAAGCCAAATGAAAGCTTCAGTCTCAATACCATTATACGCTCATCGACTGGAGTGACCTCTACTACCGAGGATTGAAGTCGGCTGGAGATGGCTATGGCTACTCCCTGGAGATGGTGGCCCAACCAGTAGTAAGTGTAGCCACCCACACTAATCGTGCCGCTGCCAGGTCTTCTCACCTCCGAAAGAGCAACCATCTCAACTCTCAGCCGCTTCAATTCCCTCGACAGTAGTGGTAACCGATCGTCCTGTCGCAGGGAACAGACCCAGATGATGGGTAACCCACCCTCCCCACCCGAGTCCCAGCAGTCGCCAACCCAGAGGGACCCACAGCCTACCGTTCTTGCTGGGTGGGAGGGGCTTTAGCCCTCCCCCCAGCACCAACACCTATATGACTCGTTGCCAGTAGAATGTCTCGGGGGGGGGGGGGCAGACTGGCAAGGCCTACCTCCCCACAGCCACCCATTAACCCCAGGGGGCACGGGGCCAGGAGTTGGTAGAAGCCAGGGCGTGTCCACACGCCGATGGGCCATGACTCCTACCTTTAGGGCCTCCTGCTGTTCCAAGAGCCTCCACAGTTCAGTCTAGGACCGGAAGGTGATATATATATATATATATATATATATATATATATATATATATATATATATATATATATATATATATATATATATATGAATATATATATATATATATATATATATATATATATATATATATATATATATAGATATATATATATATATATATATATATATATATATATATATATATATATATATATATATATATAATATATATATATACATATATATATATATGTATATATATATATATGTATGTATATGTATATATATATATATATATATATATATATATATGAATATATATATATATATATATATATATATATATATATATATATATATATATATATATATATGTATATATATATATATATATATATATATATATATATATATATATATATATATATATACATATATATATCATAGATACATATATATATATATATATATATATATATATATATATATATATAAATATATATATATTTATCTGTGTGTATATGTGTCTATGCATGCATGTATGTGTGTGTATGTGCGTACGTGCGTGTCTGTGTGTGTGAGTGTGTGTGTGTGTGTGGCTTTGATTGGCTGAGGTGTTAGTGACGCCATCCTTATGTATCATAGAAAATGAGTTTAAGAACTAACTTATGTATTTGATATTTTTTATAAGATGTGTGTGTGTGTGTGTGTGTGTGTGCATACACTGTATATACATATATATGTATACACACACACGCACATGAGTGTTTGTGTGTGTCTGTATGTGTGTTAGTGTGTGTGTGTGTGTGTGTTTGGCTTTGATTGGCTGAGATAATAGTGACGTCATCCTTATATATCATATACAATAAGTTCAAGGTATAACTTATGTATTTAATTTTTTTTTTTACAAGATGTGTGTGTGTGTGTTTGTGTGTGTGTGTGTGTGTGTTTGTGTGTGTGTGTGTGTGTGTGTGTGTGTGTGTGTGTGTGTGTGTGTGTGTGTGTGTGTGTGTGTGTGTGTGTGTGTGTGTGTGCATGTGTATATACATATGTATGTATACGCACACACATGAGTATGTGTGTGTGTGTGTGTGTGTGTATGTATGTATACGCACACACATGAGTGTGTGTGTGTGTGTGAGTGTGTGTGTGTATACACTCTATATGTGTTACTGAATATGCAGGCATACGCAAGTAGAATTCAGGGGGTCTAATGCAATAAATGAAAATAAATAAATTTTCTATGAAACTATACTTCAATTACAGCAAATATATTCTTCTTATAAATGAAAAGTAGTATATACAGAAGTTATACCCTAAACCCATTTTCTATGAAACGTAAGGATGACGTCCCTAGCATTCCAGCCAATCAGAGGCCGGGAAGCAGAGTTCCAACATGGCAGATTCGGTCCGCGAACAAAAGTTAGCCGCTGCCAGAAAAAAGGTAAAAAACAGCATACCTAACGCTTGAATATCTACAAATTAGGGTCTTAATCGTAGCAGCAAATCTAATGGTTGATTTGCGGGACTTATTTCCAGGAATGACCTTGCTGCAAGTTAGTGACGAGCCTGAAATGAGATTGGTCTTGCTTTTGACAGATGTAAACAAACCCGATCAGCTGATGTTCGAGCCTTTGGTCAGAAGTTAACAGCTGACACGTGTTATCCCAGATTATGCCACTCAATAAACCAGTAAATCCCTTATAGAATGAAGAGATTAATCCAAATGTTGGTTCTAGTTTCTAAAAAATGTCCATTGTATATTCATGAATTTAACAATCTTGAGAACAGGCTGGGTTACCCTTCTTTCCCTAGGCAAATAGTGAAAAAAAAACGCCGTATGCAATAAGTTAAATCCATTTCAGTCTCATTCTTCACAGGAATACCATCCATGGTCTTGGAATATATGTAAGATATTATATTTCTCGTGGCTTGTGAACTTACATAGGGCAATTATTCACAATGCTTCACAGATCATGACGATATTGGTAGCAATGGATTCCTGTGAAGTGGAAATAGGGACATAAACAACACAGCTGTTGCAGTCCCATATTTACAGAGAAATTACAATAATATCTGCTGCCTATCAGAGACTAAGTCCACAACATCCTCACCCAGCCAGAGTTCTTATTGATATTTTTCATAAGTCTGTGTTTTATTTAATTCCTCCTAGCCTCAGCTTGACTGTACCCCCCACACTGAAGGTATGTGGCACAAATATTTTCCATAACAAAATAGTTGTGGCAGTTGGTACCAAGTGCTAATAAAAGGGGGTCTAGGGAATAAATAGAAGACAGGAAAGGTTTTGTTTGGATTATTGGGTTTGCGTGATTCCCAAATTTGGTATTAGGACTCTGAAGGGTGTGTTGCTCTAATTAACAAATGCTGTTTGCTTCCCATATGTATGGAAATGGGATCTAAATGTACCAATATCATGATCAGTCATACAAAAGTATTCTGAATATTTACCTTATGTAGTTGAGGCGATTACATACCTGTACAGTCATGTGATATATGGCACGAAAATACCAAATATTTCATTCTTTGCAACACTAAAGACATTGTACAGGATATTAGTTCTTCACATGCAGCACAAATATCTTTGGTTTGATGTAGGATAACAGTTTTTGGACACAAAGATTTTGTGCAAATGGTTTATGGGATAATTAGTATAGATATGTACACCTTTACCTTAGCCTTTTTTAAATAATAACAAACATTTTAGAATGACATAAATCCCTGTTCAGATATCCATATGTTTGACAGTTACCTTGCAACTGGAACAGTTTCTACACTTGTCAGAGCTCTGGTAAAGGTTGATAATTTTTAGTATATATATTCTGGCAAGACAGACCTTGTAGACCCCCTCGGAAATTTATTGTCAAATTAAGTGAATATACATCAAGGTATAATGCATTTGCTATAAGACAAAGTGCGGAGACCGTGGTAATAACTAGACCCTATGCTTATTTGGGATGAATTTGAGACTGTAGGCCACCTATCAATGATCATAGTAACTTTTTCATAAAATTGGATCAAATTAGATGATGTAATATTGGCCATAAAGTCATTGTCAAAGCCACTGTGGTTTTTCTTTTATATATTTATCATTTTAGGTTTCAGATTATCATCTTAATTACCAGGGAGCCAATTAATCATCTGAGAATAGGTTGGGTTATCATCTTTATCTACACAATTAATGAAAAAGACAAAATGAAATAAATAAGATCCATTTCAATCTTGTTCCTCGCATGAATATAATCCATGGCTTTGATATAATTGTTGGCTATCATCTCTCGTCTGGCTTTGTTAACTTTTGTTGGATGTTTATTCAGAAATCCTTCACGTGGCAGATTACAATGATATTGGTATCGATGAATTCCTCTTACTCTTTGTTGCCCATATGTGTTTAAGTAGGATCTATCTGTACCAGTGTTGTCATAATTACTCATGTTAAGTTATTCTGAATAACTACCATATGTAGTAGAGGTGATTATATACTGTCATATAGGCTTATGATATGCGGTATGAAAATACCAAATATTTCGTGCTTCACAACACCAAAGACACTGCGCACAAGCTGTTAGTTCTTCACATGCAATGTAAAAATATGTGGTTTGGTAAAGGTTAACCCATTCACTCCATGTGGCAAGAATAGATGCCATACCCACTTTGATATACGTTTATTTATTGTATTTACACATAGATGGCTCCACAAGTTCTTAACCCCTTGGTGCTGGGTGACGCCGATCGGCGTGTAAACAAAGTGCTCAAAAGCTGGCGTGCAGCCAAACGAGCCGGCGGCGCGCCAAAGCGCAGCGAGCCAGTGATTCGGGCTGATGTCCCCTACTCACGCGCTCAAAGTCGGCGCGCCGCCTTTGTTTGTTTA